TCGATTCAGTCGAGACGGCCCGAGTGGAGTTTCATGTAAATGTTTCGTACGGAAAAAAAAATCGCCCACCGCCACCTCGGTAAAGACGAAAGAACATTAGCCCAGGTGTAGATCTCTAGGCCTAGGAGGCTTAGAATTAGTTGATGTTGATTGGAACGCCAGTAAACTATACCAAATTGATTGAAGGTTGAACTTGAGAATGTTTTGCTAATGCTCCAAAAGATACTGGTCCGAAATATTGAGATTTTTCGAGAAATGCTAGGCCCTTGTCTTGCATCTGTGGCAGTTTTGTTTTTTTATTAGGTTATCTGGTTCCCGGTCGCCGATTGTGTCTATTTTATTAACTGTACCTCGACCGTTCTTCAGATGGGACACTAAGCCCATGCATGGCCTATGTGCCCATGTGCATAAAGGGACCAATTAATTATTTTATAATACTTGCGTTACAACAATACATCTAGATAATAATGCTTACCTATTATATTTAATAGAAGAACTAGAGCTGACCAACAATATGCCTTTCTATTAATACATACAGTATTTGTTTTTATTTTTGTCATGTGCTTTTCTTATTGATCCTGTTTTTGTATACTAGGATATTAATATTGTATTTTTGTTTATCTTTGTGGAAATATACAAGCCCGGATCCAGAAATGTCCAAAAAGGGGGCCTGAAAATAGGGCTGATCCAGACAACACCACCCTTGGCTAGGGGGTTTGGGATATTCCCCTCTGAAAATTTTTGTTTTCTAGATGTCTGAAAATAACCTCTGAGGCATTTTAGGCGATCAATCTTTTTCTTTCTTTTTTTTTTAACTTTCCAAAAAGGGGCCGGGGCTGATATAGAGTTTAATACCAGCTCTCTGATATTAGAAGTTATAAAGATGGTTGAAATAGATTAACCCATACCATCAGTTCTTATTCCTTCACTCACTTCATTTTTAAGAATACTGTACTGCTTTTATATAGTACCAAGAATCACAGCTGTCACTCTAGATTTGAAAATCATTCTTTATGTTATGAACATGTGTTTTAACTGTAAGTTCTTTAATTTAACATACCTGATCAAATTGAGCAGAACTGATCAGGCTTCATTCAAACTTTTTTCTTTAAGAACTGAATGCAAGTCACCATGGCAGCAGCAAGTGTTGTGATTGATGGCGCTCTTATGGAAGGTGTAAGTGCAACAATAAACTAAAACGGCAATAAATCTATTTTAATTGTTCATATAGTTTCACAGGTTTACACATAACTATTGTACCGTGATTCTTATTCTTGCTTTCCCAGGGAGGACAAATTTTGAGAATGTCAACTGCTTTCAGTTGCTTAACCAAACAACCAATCGTAATAAACAACATCAGAGCCAATAGGAGTAAACCAGGTCTACGGTATGTCAGGCTTATATTTTAATTATGTAAATTTGATGCAATTCAGTTGTCTGCAATTCCATTTTATTTTTGAATAAACCAGAATTGAATTGAAGTTAGAGAATTTATAAAATAAATTGTCACATTTCCCTCAGTTAATTAAACAAATGAAGCTGCCTGTGAGTCCTGAACTCTTGGCTAAAGTCATAGGTAATTCATATTAATATGTGACAATACTGCCCTATAATTTGGTTCTATTATCAAGGATTTCAGTTCAAGAAGATTACCAGTTTCTTTATTAAGAAAATATGAAAAGATTACTCTTCGTTTGAACAAAGCCGAATTGGATTTAAAATTTTTACATACAGTAATTGCAAGGCATTCGGAGTTTTTCCTAAATTTATTTGCCCTATAATTATTAGAAAATTAATTACTGATAATTCATATAATTGTCTTTTAACAGACCACAA